GGAAATGCAAATGGCCAACAGGCATTTATGAAAAAAATGTTCAACATCCCTTATAATCAGGGAAATGCAAATTAAAACCATTGAGATACCATCTTACACCAGTAAAAATGGAACATATCAAAAAAACAAGCAACAACAAATGTTGGCGAGGATGTGGTGAAAAAAGAACTCTCCTACATTGCTGTTGGGAGTGCAAACTGGCCCAACCACTATGGATAGCTCTCTGGAGGTTCCTCAGTCTACTAAAATGGAGCTAGCATACAACCCGGCAATTCTACTACTAGGGATCTACCCAAAGGACACAAAAACATTGATTCAAAAGAACATCTGTACCCCTATGTTTATAGCAGCACTATTTACAATAGGTAAGACATGGAAACAACCCAAATGCTCAAAAATAAATGACTGGATCAAGAAGATGTGGCATATATACACAATGGAATGGTATTCAGCAATCAAAAAAGATAAACTCATGCCATTTGCAGCAGCATGGATGGCACTAGAAGGAATTATGCTCAGTGAAATAAACCAGAAGGAAAAAGAAAAATATCAGATGATTTCACTTATAGCAGGAATATAGGGGAACCAAATAGGACATCAGTGTAAAAAAATAATAACAGTACAAAACACAACAAAGCAAAAACAGACAATTATAAATCAGAGACATCCTGCAGGGGAGGAGGAGGGAGAGGGATCAGAGGGAGGGAGGGAGGAGCACAGGGGACTGAGGTGATGGTGCACGGGTGCACTGGTGAAGTAAACTCTATGGGGCTACACCTGAGGGGGTGGGGGGAAGCAAATATTGTTTAAAAATGAACAATGATGTAAAAAATAAAAAAATAAAAAAAAGCAAAAAAATAAAAATGCATTGGTTTGTAAAACAAAACAAAAAAATAAAATAAAATATGGTCCTGCTGTCTGCCACATAAAGACAAAGGGGACTTTTAGTGTGAAAAACCTTTAATAGAATTAGTGTGCAAGGAGAGAGGAGAAAGGATGTTAGTTTCCCAATAAAATTACCCAGACAAACATGGTTGGCTCAAAGCAGGAATGCTGAGGCCCAAAAGTCTGCTGTAAGTCTAAGGCAACTTCTGGTAGGGAACCACACACAGAAAGGGACAAGGGGAGCAGGCAAGTCTGGGACAGAAAAAGATGCAAAATTAGAAATGAACATAACAGCTGCCTTTGTCTCTGCCAAGCACAGTCTCCCCACGTGTCTCTCCCCCACATTTATCTTTTAAGTGTCTCTATATATCTCTCTTCCAGGCATCTCCTCCAAGTCCCCCTTCTACCATAATGGTGCAAATCAAAGCCAGAAAAGCAAGAGAGCCTTTTTTTCTTAGCCCACCTGCTTTCTGTGTTATGTAGTTCCCTCTCAGCTCTGTCCCTAGTTCCTCGTAACTCCCAGGCTCAGGAAGTCTGCATGGAATACTGGGACTTGTAGTCCAAGGCAGCTTCATGTAAGTGGGGGCGGGGAAAATGGTGTCCTTTCACTGCATTGCAGTGCTCCTCTGGAACACTTCTGCTTTAGACTGTCTCTAGCTCCTGAAGTCCATGGCTCAGTAACTCCCCCAGCTGACAGAGTTGGTAAGAGACAAATGGCAGAAGAATGGCTAAAGGAGGAGTATCTTTGGGCTTTCCACATAGCACTTATTTTTTTAGTGTGGGTGGTAATCCTTTTGTGGGTCCTTAAATCGACAGGCCACAAACTACATTCAAAAGGGAGGAAGGAAAAAGGAGAAAAGACAAGAAAGAAAAGAAAAAGAAGGAAAAGAGAAAGGAAAAAAAAGATCATAATGTACCACATGTAATTAGTATAGTATAGTATTGTTTCACGAAACTTTTGTTCCATTGCATATGTACATATTAGTTTGCTATGAAAAAAATGTCTTTCTTTCTGTGGGTTGTAGTACTAAAAGGTGATTAAATTTAACTCAAACTCAATAGTCATCAGGAAAATAAAAATTTAAATTATAAGATACTATGTTTTTAGGCAAAAATATAAAAAACACCTAAATACCTATCAATAGAGAAATGGATGAATAAATTATTGCATATCCATATTACAGCTGTAAAGAATAACTTAGGTCTATACATTTTAAATGAGAAATTTCCAAAGATGTACTTAATTAAAAACACACTGTGGATAAACACATGTGGTGTGATTATATTTTGTACAATAAATGATGAAACCACTGTAGGGGAGCAAAAAAATCTGCCACTCCAAAATATGTCTTTTTTGAAAAAGCTTGATTTTAGGGAGGGGCTCTCAAGACTGGTTGGAGGCTGTTTTTGATATTTATACTGAAACTTAAATTCTAGGAGTACCTAATCCCCTATCTCTTTTCAGAGAAGGCAGAAATACTTTTGTTTTCCCCTCAAAATGCCCTGTTTTAGATAAGCTATTTAAGATGGCATCTAAAGCTACCTGGGTAACCTAGTCATGCTGGTTCTCCGCCATATATATAGGAGGTACATGTGTTACAGAATGCAACCCTGTGAAAGAGGGAGCAACGTCACAGCACAGTGACTAGGCACCATTTTCCCTGTCCCCACTTACATGCAGCTGCCTTAGACTACAATTCCTAGCAGGTCATTAACCTGACTTCTTAAATTGGGGTGGAGAGGTAGCTGGGGAGGAGTGGGGTAGAATGAAGGAAGAAGAGAGACACTTGGAGGAGACACATAAGGTAAGGACATTTGAAGGAGATGCACATGAAGAGGCAATGCTCCTTTAGCATTTTGGCAGAGACAACAGCAGTCATTAAGTTGACCTCCTAGTGAATTACATGGTACATTTTGAATTTCACATCTCTCACTCTGTTCCAGTTCTCTGGAACCTGCCTAACCACCTTCTTGGGGTTCCTACTGGAAGCTACATTAGCTACATTAGACTTGGGGCAAGCTTTCAGGCCTCAGCAGCCTTGCTTTGGGCTGAGGCTGTTTGGCTGGGCATTTACCTACAAGGGGGTGGGTAATGTTTTTGTTTGACACACCCTCTTCTCTCTCTCTCTCTCTCTCTCTCTCTCTCTCTCTCTCTCTCTCGCTCGCTCGTTCTCTCTCCTTTCACCAATTAAAAATATCTTTAAGCACACGAACAGTCTGCTTTCTTTGCCTTTGTGCACAGAGCTGTCCAGACCCTTTCACCATTTAAAACATGCAAAAGGAGTTTTTCCCATAACAGTTTGGGTTACCTGGGTACCCCCCACTTACATATATGTTATTAAACTTCTATACAGCTTTTACTCTTATCAATCGTTCTGACACTTATTAGACTATTTGTCAGTCTTAAAGAACCCAGAGGGATACGAGATGATTTCCTTTCTGCTACTGACATTCCCAACATTTGGGTTGTGGCTTATGTCGAATGGAAAAGGAGCAAAACAGAAAGTAAGTAAAAGTATAACAACACTTTAAGTGTTTGCTTTTATTATGGTGACAATGGAATGTTGAGCTTCCTCATGGGTCTGCCTGTCTTCATGCACGCTCTCCAATCAACCTACCCTCCAACCAGCACAAGTTCTTTTTAAAGGGCACACAGATCATGTGGCTCTCTTCCTTGACATTTGTCTGTGATCTCCAGGCTTTTTGGGATAATATTCAAGTCTTACCCTTGCAGTATCTCCAGCCTCACCTTTCTGCACTCTTCCCTTTACCTTCACCCTAGCCATGCCCATTCCTTCTGGGTCTGCACACAAGCCCCATATCGCCCCATGTCCCAGAGCCTCTGTTGTGAATGCTTTTCCACACCACATCACTTTCATACCTTGCTAACTCCTACTATTCACCTTTGAAGTTCCAAGAATCACTTCCCCTGGGGATATCTTGTCCCACTCCCCTAACAGGTCTGCTTTTCAAGCAGCTTCTCTTCATACCATAGCATTCCAGGCAGGCTGCATCACTCTGTACTCTAAATCATAAGTGTCTGATTCTCCCATCAGCAGCGGGCTCCTCAAATACAGCAATAATGAACTAATGATCTTTGTCTCTGGACTCCAGCATAAAGCATAGAACCTACTGAAAGTAGATACTTAATCATGATTTGTCTGAAAATTGAATTTATAAATGAATGAGTTAAGTAACTGACCCAAAGTTACTCAGCGACGAAGGAGCACGGTCAGAATTCGACGCCAGATCTGTGTGACTCCAAAGGCCATCACTGTCTCCCAACCATTTGGAAGTTCTAAGGCTGCCTGCCATTCCAGAACAGCTGCATGGCTGAGGGAACTCCCCAGGGGCGCCAGACCAGTCTAGGCCAGAATGAGCTGGTCAGCAGAGACTGGGGAATAAATGCCTCCTTTTTGGGACTATCAACTACATGACATTTGCTTTATCAAGGGACTTTCCCAAGAAAATCAATTTCTGCGGCATGTTCAAATATAAACAAAATACCACCCACCTACCCACCCACTCCTTAAAGACAATTGGTCCAAACAGATCTTAGAGAATTCAGATAATTCCACAATGTTGAGCGCACCATCTGAGCACATGAACTTTGTTTTCCCTAATCAAGCATTTTTCTACTGAATTTTCACTTTACAATTGGTTCAACTACGAAATGTGTATCCCTATACTTTTATATTGTCTCACCTAAGGCAAAGCTGTGTGCACAGCCACAGATACATAGGGGATTCTTGACACATGCACCATTTGAGATTAGCTCTCATGGCTCATGATGATGTTACCAGAATCCCTTGATAGCTATCTAGAACTGTAACCTATTATCCTATTTTCCATATAATCGGATGCGACTGAGGTTAAGAAAAATTCAGCTGCACAAGAAAAGTCATGCTCTTACAGAACAGATGTTTGCTTAGTATGGAAAGCAAATTAGCCTTTAACACAAATACACAGAAACACAGAAGCGCCCTTTCCAAAAGCACTAATGTAAATATTTTACTCTGAAAAGTAATTTTAAGATAAAGGATATTTAAAATGTAGAGGAGATAGCCACAGATTTTAAATGGAATAAAATTGATTTTAAAATGTGTTAATTTTACCTCTTTCACAGGAGATACTGGTTCCAATTCGGGTAAAGGATTTTTTCTCCAGTTCAGGGCAGAGAAAAATGACTCATAATTTATTTGTCCTTCACTGTCTTCAAACCTGAAAACATAATTATAATATATGATTTGACTCAATCTGCTCAATTTAGGACCAAAATGTCAGTTTTCAAATGCTGCCATGAATGCATAGTAGCAGGTATGCTTTAATATGATATTTTTCTTATTTGTTTATTGTTTGTTTTTTTTCCTTTTCTTTTCAGGGGAGAGTGTGAACACAGTTCCCCACTATCACACATTGTACAGCTGAGTTTCCCACATTTGGGGAAATTGCAGGGGTCAGCACATCCAGAGTACAGTGGTTAAGCCTCACCCTGGGAAAACCACCTTCATGATCATGGTGTCTCCCCCACCGGGTAAGTATGTTTACTGTCTGTTTCTAACTCTCCAAAATATAAACTCTCGGAAAGCAGAGATCTCACACATCAAATTCACCAAAGTACCCCCTGCACCTAGATCAATGTTGGCATTTAGTAGGTGTCCAATAAATATTTGCTGTTGTTGCCACAGAAACAAATTAGTTTATTCAGTTACTAAAATCAGCACTGCATTTTGTTAAGAATATTTGAGGCCTTTTTATTTACAATAGATGTACCTCTATGTTGGTAAAATAAAATGTCCTTGTATTTCTTTTTTTTTTTTGATAGTGAGAACAATATTTTTTAAAATTTTATTTTATATATTTTTTACATCATTTTTCATTTCTGCACAATGTATGCATTTTCATCTTGGTTATATTCCCCATACAATTCCCACCCCCCACCCCCTATTTTGACTCTAATCCCTCCTCCCCTACCCTCCATTGTGTGTCTCTGATTTATAGTTGCTTGTTGATTTTGATTTTTACTTTATTTTTTTTAAGATTTATTTTTATACAAGAGCTGGGGTATAGGCCAGAGGCACAGGAGGGTGAGAGGATTCACCAGAGACAGAGCAGGGAGCAGAACAGGCAGACGATAGAAATAAAGGGCTGAGGGGAGCGGCGGGAGCGACAGGAGAGGTCTGCTGCACCATATGGGATTCTTGCTGCCCGGCTGGGATCGAACCCTGCATTGCAGAGGCTGCAACAGCTTCACAGCACTGTGCTCATCCCGCTGCGCCACCGGGGAGTCCCTTGATTTTTACTTTATTATAATTAGTCTTTTTCCTGTTCCCTTATTTAGGTTTTCTAAATTCCTGCTATGAGTGAGACCATCCGGTATTTTTCTTTTTCTTTCTGGCTTATTTCGCTGAACATGATCCCTTCTAGCACTTCTCCAAAGAGGAAATGCAAATGGCCAACAGGCATATGAAAAAATGTTCAGCATCACTTGTTATCAGGGAAATGCAAATGAAAACTACCATGAGATACCATCTTACACCAGTGAGAATGGCACATATTAAAAAAACTAGCTATAACAAATGTTGGCGAGTATGTGGAGAAAAAAGGAACTCTCCTGCACTACTGGTGGGAGTGCAAACTGGTCCAAGCACTATGGAAAGCTGTGTGGAGATGCCTGAACTTGCTAAAGATGTAGCTTCCATTTGACCCAGGAATTCCACTCCTAGGTTTTTATCCTTATATTTCTTAACTTGCATGCCTTCTAAATATTTAAGGCAAGCCTGGATTCATTTTGTTTACTAATATATTTTCAGGGAAAAGAAAAGGCAACCTTATCACTTATTATGTAGCCATTAAAAGGGACTGTTTAGATCCATATAGTCTATCATAGAAATATATGCATGATATATTATTGAGTGAAAAGGAGGTTATAAAATATGAAGAGTTATGATCTCAGTTTAGGTTATATTCATTTAAGGAGGCATAGAAAAAAATAGGAATAATATATTGAAGTATTAGGAACAAGTATATCTGAGGAGAGAGACTACAACTTTTGCTTTTTCTTTAAACTGTTCTATATATCTAAATCATTTTAAATTTATAATCAGAAAAAATTAAATCCATTTTCATTTTGAAAACAACAAAAAGATTATCCTTAAATAATTTTAATTCTACAGGTCAACAATAACAAATCTATTTGATGGCTATTCCTAATTATAAACATTGGCATAAACTCATCTTTACTCATAATGGAGTTTTGGTGCTTAAAAACTAGGAATTTAAACACAATTGCTACAATGACCTAAACACAAACAAAACACTTTTTAATGTAATAACTAAATGCCACCTATTGAGAATTTAAACACATTCTGACAACTTTTAATACTAAATATAATTGACCTTCCAAGAACGCAGGGTTTAGGGGCTCTGATACCTACAGAGCTAAAAACCTGCATTTAACATTTGATGCCCCCAAAACTTAATGACCAATATACCCTGCTGTTGACTAGGAGTCTTACCAATAACATAAACAGTTGATTAACGCATATTTTGTGTATTATGTGTGTCACAAGCTACATCCTTACAATAAACTAGAGAAATTATTTAAAAAAAAATCATGAAGAGAACATATAGTTATACTATACTACATTTATCAATACCATGCATTTACACAGTGTTGTCTATTTACAAGAAAATCTGAACCAGCACAGTTGAAACCCATATTTGTTTAAAGATGAGCTGCACATAATGATCATATAATACTATTTTTTTTAAGGAGAAGACAAAGGTGTTGTTTCAAGTACCCTGCACCAGGCCCCTGCCCTTCTCTTGGGACCTCCAACTCAACATGTCCCTCTAACTAGCAAGTGAGAATAATTAATTATAAGAAAACTCAGCGACAACAAATGTAGGAAGAAAACAATACTCATAATGAGTCAGGAGACTTTTCTCTTTCCCTTAGAAAATAATAGCTCATATTTATAAACTAATAAAACTTAGCAGCAATAAATTAAATGTTACAAGATGGAGTCACATAGACTCATCAATCTAAACAAAGTAGAATAAACAGTGATCAGAAAAGAGAAAGGCAATTTATTAATTTGTATGTGTACATTTCCTCTGGCCAAGGGTTCTGGCAAACAACTCCAATACCCTGTCCCTTACTATAGCTTATTACTTGAATTCTGGCTCACCAATCATTTAAACTCCTTGAAAGAACATGTTCTGTTTATGGAATATTTGTAGCCAAAGTGAAGGACCATTATGTCTTTTGCTTATGTGTGTTTTTAAGACAAAAACTAAAACTCAATGAAAGGTGTTTTGTCAGAGACTTTCTTTTAACATGGAGCCCAAAAGTAAAGTATTCCCCAACACTATGACTAGCAACTGAAGTCAGAGAATAAAGTCATGCAGGGTCTTTGACTTTGATATTAAGGAAAATGGAGAATCACTGGAGCACACTATGCTGAGTAGGTATGGGATTTAAGATTTATTTTTCTAAAAATCACTCTGACTGATATATTATGAATAGAATATAGGTGTTTTCCTGAGATTTAAAAAAACAAAAGAAAGAAAGAAAGATTCCAGGGGCTGCTGGTTGGGAGAAAAGATCAGGAGTTTGGTTTGGTTATCTCATCTACTACTCACTAGTTTCAAACCACCATCATCACTCATTTGGATTACAGTAATAGCGTTTCATCTTGGTCTTGCTGCTTCTACTCTCACCTTACTGCAGACCATCCTCCACCAGAATAACATTTCTAAAACATGTATCAGATTGGGCCTCCCCAGTGGCACAGCAGGTTAATCACAGTGCTGTGAGGCTGTCCGCGGCCTTTGCAGCACAGGTTCGATTCTCAGCTGGCCAGGGAGATACCCACATGGCGCTGCAGACCTCTCCTGTCTCGCCAGCTGCTCCCCTCAGCATTGTTTAAAAAGAAAAAAAAAAACACAACATGTATCAGATTAATGATTTCCTTGCTTGCAACTCTCCAATTTCTCCCCAATCCAATTAGAATACAAGCTGAATGCCTTAACTGGGCTTACAATGCCCAAGGTAATCTGGCCCCGACTGCTCTCTGATCTCATCTGAAAACTCTCTATAATATTTACTATGTTCTAGGTACACTAGCCTTCTTCTTGTCCTCTGAGTGCTAAGACTGCTCCCAGAAATGTAAAGCATTTATGCCTTCTGGTTCCTTTGTCTGAAAAATTTCAATTCAAATGTTGCTTCCTCAGAAAGGCATTCCTGAAACTCTTCTTATCTAATTGAATCCCTGTGCCCAAATTTGCCTTTGTCCTGGATACTAGCATTAGAACTTACAGGAACATTTCTGGAAGTCACCACAGGAAGTCCTATTATCAGACCTTGTTATGAAGAAGTTTGATATTTACCCTTTCCTGTTGTCAGTATACCACTGGCCATGCTTAAATTCTCCTCCTTTGCCCTTCCCCACATCCCATCCTCCCTCCTACCCCAGCAGGAAAAGATGAGATTCTCTATATGGTCCCAGAGAGATCTTCAGATTCTAGCTTCTGGGAACTCCGTAATTAAACTGAGGGCTATGAGAGAACTCATGAAGTGAAACCCACCAATCAACAAAATGTACCCCCTAAAAGCTTCCATTAAGAAGCCAAACAAGCAACATTAGAAAGGGAATCAGAGAATCATAGCAGAGGAAATATGATATAAAATGATATATTATATCCATGAATAAAGAACAGAAAACTATAGAAAAGGAACACTCAGACTGAAAATTTGGTCTTGGAATAAAAAATACAATAGTCGTGAACAAATGCAGTGAAGGGGGTGCGATACAAAGTTGAGGAAACTCCTTAGTAAGTATATCATAAATGATGAGGGAAAAAATGGGGAGAGAAAACATACAAATATGGGAGAGCCAAGATATTAATCCCAGGAGTTCTCATAAGAGGAAAATGAAAATAGAGAGGAGGAAATTATTTAAAATTTAATGGAAAATTTCTCAGAACAAAAGGACAGAGACTCCATGCCAGAAGGGTCCATAGGTGATAGGGCATTACCAGTAAAGTTTTGTGTAGAGTGAGTGAAGCATGTGCACAGATAGGGGTATGAAGTTGTATTCCCAAAATTACATGAACTAGTTAAATTATTACCAAATTAATAAAATTTTAGGAAAAATGCTAAGCACAATGAACCTTTATCTAATCTCTCTCATACACACACACGAAGAGAAGATCCTAAGAGCATCCAGAAAGAACAGTAATATTTATACTATATATTATGCTAAATTCTCAAGCATCATAACAGGAAATTAGTAGTGGTATCTAAATATGGAAAATCCAAAAACGGCAGTATGTTCATGGTTATGTAAATGACTGCAGAAGGAACCAGGAAAGTTGAAAGTGGCTGATTCATTTGAATGGGTCTGGGAGCTGGGAACGGATGCAGCTAGAAACTGTTGTTACAAAAACAACAGAAGGATTTGATTATTTTTCTTTATGAGCATGTATCAGTTTGATGTGAATGCAAATTTCAGAGGTGTAAAAAGCAGATGAAAAAA